TATATATATATATATATATATATATATATATATATGTATGATTTTTTTTTGGTAAATTGTATTTACTCAGAAATGAAACTTAATTTTTGACTTTCAAAGCCGCATGTAGCACAGGAATCTTTGTAGTTTTTGAATACATTATTATGCTTGATCATTACCATTATTTACAAAATAATTTTTCAAATGGTCATTGACATTATTTTCTGAAAGTACTTTACATGATATACTGTGTGATTGAAGTATATAATTGTTTCTGACATGTTAGTACTGATTAATGTGCAATATTAACATTTTATTTTATCAGAGAGAGATTTGAAGAGTAAATAAAGTTGATTAAGAATGGAAGGTTGTTAGATCTTTAAATTAACCCATTCTCTGCAGTGGGAAATATACGTACCAGCCGCTGTGAAAGGATTAATCAAAATGTTAAACTAATGTGCCTGGTGACGTGGTGTTTTACTGAAAGTGTTTGGTACTGAAGCTTTATTGGTAACTATAAAATCTGTATCTTTAACTCAGTGCTGAAGATATTATTTTATTTTAGGTGACGGCCATTTCAGGTAGACTAGAAAGTCTGAATTCGTTACCGGCTCAGCTATCTTTTGCTGAGGATTTTATTATTCAGCCAGTGACAAAACTGAGAAAACAAGCCATAACCAATACATCAGTTACTCTTGTGTGGGACAAACTGAAAGAGAAGGTGGATGGTTATATTGTAGAATACAGAAATCAGTATGAACATGAGAATTACCTGTGGATGAAAAAAAAGACCAAGGAACCTTCTATTAAAAGTAATCTTGGAGTTTCCTTTTAATTTTTTTTTTTTTTTTTTTGGTGGGGGGCAGTTTCAAGCAAATGTTTTCTGTTAAGTTCTAATATATTCTGTTCTAAAATGTTTCTGTTAATCTTCTCCTCACTGTACTGGTATGCGGTTGACTGGGTATAAAAGTTATGTAAACAGATTGCAAGATGTTTTTATTGTCCTTACAGGTATGCAGTTGACTGGGTATAATAGTTTATGTAAACAGATTACAAGTATGGAAGTGTGAAGAAATCATAGGATGTTTTATAGCTGTTGAGTTTAACTGTGAAAAGGAAGTTATTTAATAATTGCAGATTACACTTCAGTTACAAATACAAACTTCCTGAGGAATACAGTTAGGCTTGAAGTCGTACTTTAAACTACTTTCTAAGCTTTTTCAGATTTATAGAAACAACTCAAGTTCCCTGGGAATTTATGCAAACAAATGAAATGAGTGTTTTTAATATGAAATTGATAATATAACAGGTTCGCTTATGTTTCAGATTTCACAGGTTTTTTTTGGTTATGTCAACAGACGTTTTCTATGTAGTTACCTTGTATTGATTTTTTTTAACTTTAGTAATGTTTTCATTAAGTTATCATCATCCATTGTTGATTTATGTTTGTATTAAATCTTCCACTTTAACTGGAGACTGGCATGGTTAGCATACTGGACTGTGAATCTGAAGATCTGAATTCATATCATGTTTTTTAACTGGAGACTGGCATGGTTAGCATACTGGACTGTGAATCTGAAGATCTGTATTCATATAATGTTCTTTAACTGTAGACTGGCATGGTTAGCATACTAGACTGTGACTCTGAGAATCTGTGTTCATATCATGTTCTTTAACTGGAGACTGGCATGGTTAACATACTGGACTGTGAATCTGAGGATCTGTATTCATATCATGTTTTTTAACTGGAGACTGACATGGTTAACATACTGGACTGTGAATCTGAGGATCTGTATTCATATCATGTTTTTTAACTGGAGACTGGCATATCATGTTGCCATAAAACTGTGCTCTATACTGTAGGGCTGTGGGTGCATTATAGGAGTGACAGTCAAGTTCCACTATTATACTAGGGTATTCCAATAGTTGATGGTATTTGCTTTTGAATAGCTGCCTTTCTTCTGGTCTATGAGCTCAAAATTAGAATAGTATCATAGATAGCCCTTTTGTAGCATTGCTCAATTATCCAAAACAAACACTTTTGCTGCAGTGTCAAATTAGTTAGGAAAGAGTTTTTTTTTCTTTTTCACTTTTATTCCACGTGCATAATTCCAACAGGATAATTAGTAAAGTTATTCACTAGAAGGTTATTATCAAGATATTTAATTATTGGTTAATTTGTACTTCAATCAGTTACAATGGTGTAATGATATTTAAGTTCTTTAAGTGCTGAACATGAAGACTTCTGGTTCTTTAACCCAGAGTCTGCTTTTGTTAGATAGTCTAAACTAATGCACATCAGGGGTTGTTGTTTTTTCTTTTAAATTCTTACAATAAGCATTTAGGCATAGCATCTAATTCTGCTTTCAGTGTCTGTGTAAAACCTTTTTTATATTCTATTCCATTAAAAGTGTGAAAATCTATATACAGATCTTGAGTACATTATATTATTGGGCTTCACCACATTGTTACAGTACATGTCACAATGTCTGTTCACGTTCTTATCAATAGCTCTGCAGTGTAGTTTCCATTGAAAAAGGCTATAATATTGATGTTATGTTACAAGCACACCTCATATCCCTACAGACTTTCCATAATCCATCTGTTGTACCAATTTCAACAGTGATTAAACAGAAATCCATAGGTACAGCTTAAATAGCTTCCTAGCTGTTCCATTTGGACTTCCACATACTGAGTTCGTGCTTGTATTCATTTGGTTTATATAGAATATGATAACGATGTGGTTTGTTGGAACAGTTTTTGTTATATACATCATATGGTAAGAGGTTTCATGGTGTATTTTTATATACAATATTTGTAGTTTGAATACAGGACCTTTTGGGTGAACTAAAATATGGGGCTGGTATATTGTTCTTATGTTAATTTTGTTTAAATTTGTTGTCTTATTTATTCAAATAACCTTTTGATGTATGATATGACTTTTGATTGTTAATGGTAATTATTTCTTATTAGTTATTTTGTTTGGCAACTTGGATAGAATATCCATCCTCATTTCATACTATTACTCTTATTACCCTATTTAGAAATAGAGTTAATATTAGAAACTCCCAAATTGTCATGCACCCACCCATTGTCTAGTGATGTACCAGTAACACCATAACACAGTGTATTTTTTTATATTTTAATATTTTTCTCTATCACTTACATTTATACTTATTATTATGTCAATGTGTCTCATCTTGTGTTACTCTTCTATATATAAAATCAAAGTGCTATGTTTCTAATTTTCTATTATTATTATTTTTTTACTCTTAGTTTCACCACTGGCTCCTGGTTCAAAGTACACTTTCAGAGTTTGTGGTTACAATGGAGAATTCAAAGGTGGAGAGAGTAAATTAGATATCATCACCCCAGGTATATTTCTGTAATTTTCATCAGTTTGTGAACTTTGATTATGGGAAACTTTACCAGTTTGTTCATGATTGATAAACAGGCATCACTAAGTTCAAGCAACAAAACATCCATGATGAAGATTTCAAGATGCTCAGCTTAAATTACATTATTTTGTTTTAGGTCTTTGTACCATTTTAGATGATAAATAATACTTAGTTTAATATGTTACAATAACAGCTTATATTGAGGGTTTTATGGCTACTAGAATAAAAATTATATTAATACAGAAGAATGTTGTTACAAAATAAATTCATTAGAAACAAAGAAAATACCTACAGTCAGGAAATGTCTTTCTTTTTAATATGTTTTTTGTTGGTTTTGCAGGAAAACCTTTACAATCTGTGAATGTGACAAAACAAGAAGTAAATGGAACAAGGATAAGACTGGAATGGACTCCAGTTGACGATGGTCGCCATGTCAAATGGGTGTATGGGATTTATCTCTTACATCCCAGCAGTAGGATACCTAGTATGTCAGTTTTATCTTTGTACTAATCTTAACAGATCTGATGTTAGAACTAAGACTTTTATGTCCCAGTTAAAAGTATTCAAATGGGTGTATGGGATTTATATCTTAAATCCGAGCAGTAGGATACCTAGTATGTCACTTTTACCTTTATACCAGTTTTAACAGATCTGGTGTTGGAACTAAAACTTTTATGTCCCAGTTAAAAGTATTCAAATGGGTGTATGGGATTTATCTCTTAAATCCGAGCAGTAGGATACCTAGTATGTCACTTTTACTTTTGTACCAGTTTTAACAGATCTGGTGTTGGAACTAAAACTTTTATGTCCCAGTTAAAAGTATTCAAATGGGTGTATGGGATTTATCTCGTACAACCCAGCAGTAGGATACCTAGTATGTCACTTTTACCTTTATACCAGTTTTACCAGATCTGGTGTTGGAACTAAAACTTTTATGTCCCAGTTAAAAGTATTCAAATGGGTGTATGGGATTTATCTCTTAAATCCGAGCAGTAGGATACCCAGTATATCACTTTTACTTTTATACCAGTTTTACCAGATCTGGTGTTGGAACTAAAACTTTTATGTCCCAGTTAAAAGTATTCAAATGGGTGTATGGGATTT